TGCCTTTTTAGAGGGACACTGAGACCCCTCTGGGTGAATCTCCCTATTTGGAAATGGGATCCCCCAAAAAGAGGAAAGTTGGCAACCCAAGGGTCTGGCCTTTCCTTGCGTCCTTGGGCTACCCCCTCCCTTTGTTATTGTACAGAGCAGGGGAGACTATGTGGTCAGAGTACAACACAGATTATTAACCCAAATAAAATATTTTATCTAAGTTTTTACACAGTTATGGAGCAGACACACACTAAATAAATAAGGCACAGCTGTAGGAGTAAGGACACACTATGAACCAAGAGGAGCATAAATCTATAGGGGTTAAACGCCATCCTCTTTCCCTACACACCGGCCTCTGGCTCTGTGCTCTAGCCTCTCTTTCTCTCTGGCCCAAGAGAGCAGGGAAACCTCCATTCATTCCCCAGTCTAGCTGACTTGGAGTGGCTGAATTTCTGCTGCCTCTCAGGGTCCCCCCACATCTGTGGCTTGTGGCCTGGACAGCCTGGTCAGCACAGGCAGCAGGAGCCTTTCCTAACCTCCCGTAGGACAAAGACTGCCTCCTCCCTGTATGGGCTGCAGTCTATATTGATGCTGCCCTGCCCCTCTACCTCTGGAGGTTGTGGGCTCACCTATACTTCAGCCTCTCTTTCTTGCCCAAGAGAGCAGGGAAACTTCCATTCATTCCCCAGTCCAGCCAACTGTAGAGTCCCTGAATTTCTGTTGCTCCCAGGGATGAAGACTGCCTTGGGACAGTCCCTGTTTTCCCGCACTTTTTGGCCTTGGGGCAGCTGGGAACCATAGTCCAGCAGATGAGGAAGCCCCATTCAACCCAGTTAGTGATACCCCTACAGGTCCCTCTCTGGAACAACAGCTCAATTAAAACTTATGGCGGAACATTTTAAACAAACAACCACAGAAAGCAGCTATCTTACAAACACAGGTAACTGCCATTTCGTTACACCTACCAACAGCCACTGAGGGAAAAGTTACTCCCACACAGGAGGCAAGCAAGAGAAGCGTCTTCGTCAAGAGAGAAAGCCGTTTGCAAGTAATTCTGACAGGGCAGAGTGGCTGAAGGGGGAGTGCGTGGAGAAGAGGAGCAGACCCAGCACCCGGCCAATGGCACACGAGTACTCTTGTGTGGCAGCTGATAGGCCAATGGCTGAGGGAGGGCATTGCACAGCCAATGGGAGTGCATGGAATGTTGCCACTTTAAAACAGAATTATTATATAGAGAGATGATACTGTGCTTCAACTACAAGCCATCAGTTTCTGTTAGGAATGCGTATGGATATTTGTTTAGTACAGCCTGGATTTCCTTTATTGTGCAAGGACAATAAGGAGGCTTTCTCAGAAGGGTGACCTTTGTTATTTCTAGCATAGATGTTAAAAGTGCCATTTAAAGTTGGCAGGTGAATTGACTTGGAACAAGTTTGATCTTTCTTTGTGATGTGCATGAACTAATGTTTCCATCCCCCAGCATTTTAAATTATGCCAACAATTTCCTATCGCTGTTGTTGTTTTTCTTCTGTAGTACCAGTGAGAAGAGATGATTAGAGGATGATTGAAGTGTGCATGGCCCTTAACAATATTAATTTAACATGTAGGGGAAACAGGACAATCATATCTCAAGCACTAATAGAAACAACATTGCTATGTAGATCTGTGAAATATG